TTTTTAAAAATTGCTATAATTCGAATCTATGATAAAATATGAAAAATACATTATTTAATGTTTTATAGTTTTGTAGTGAAATTGAAAAATTTAAGATAAATTGAATATATTTTAAAATAAAATCACTCAAATATTTGATTCAGGAGTTGTGACACGCCAAGGTACTGATGTTTTGAATATTTATTATGTTTTTCTACAAACGTGCTTTTGAAAAAATACATTAAAATTGGGTGGATAAGTTAAAAAAACCTGGATCTTTTGTAATATATTAAAATTAAAAAAAAATATATTAAAATACCTACTCTATTGACTGATGACATCAAGTTGTCCAACTTTTGTAGAATCACCCATAGAATCACCCATATGTCATATGACATATACTAACTTATGTATGTATTACAAAATATGTTTAATTAATTATAAAACCTACCCAAATTATACTTAAAAGTCTACTTCTTTAATTAAAATTAAACTTAAACGTAATTAGTTAGTCCTTGACAATTTATCTGGAGATGAAACAGATTAAATTATTTTTTTAAATTTTAATTACGGTACAGATAACAGTTAAAAAATAAATTTAGGTCGTGGTATATTCTTGACATTAATATCTTATGGAATTTGAGACAATGCAGTTTTGTTTCAAAATTTTAAAGGGTAAATCCAAGTGAAAAAAAATCGCTTGGATTATTGTTATGTTTATTATTATAAACATTATGAAATTTTTCGATGCATTGTTTACTTGTTTTACCATACAAAAATTACAATACTGTAAACTTAATTTAAGTTTATACAATTTCATTTGTGTTTCAAGTGGATTTTAAGTTATATTGTTTATTGTTTTTATTTTGGAAAACAATTTTTTAATGATTTTTAAAAAATAAAAGTTAAAATTTGACTTAATACCTGGGTAATTAATTACCTAGCAAACCAAAAACATTTCAAAAAGTATTTATCCCAATTACCATAATATAAGAAAGAGAATAATTAGTAGTAGAGATAAACAAGATATTTCATAATCTTCCTAACAAAGATTTGGGATCGTCCTTAATTGAACATCACTCCAAATTTAGTCCTAGTCTGTAATTAACAAATTCTTTTGTACAATTTACTTTTAAGAACTAATTAACTGGATATGCTCTTGTAGTCTCTAAATGCTTCCTCATTGGAATTTAAAAATCCCCATTAACATTTTCGACCTATTCTGCGATTTATCCGGCTAATCTACAGTTTATTCTCCTACACACTGCTATGCCTTAGTTGTGACTCCGCTCGTGACACATCTACAATGGAATTTAATTTTTTTAATTTTGCCTAAAGGTTAAGACTGTATTTCTCATAGAATATATTTGTCCCACGTGTATCTTCTTACAAATTGATATTCTCTTTTATTGAATCTTCTATTGAAATCTAGCAATACAATTAATTTAATTATTAATTGCTTAGTATTTAACAAAATATTTTTTATTTTTGTTATAAGAAAAAATTAAATAAGGCAAACAAAGTTAACACATGTATTTTTTGACAGCTTGTTGAAATTTGCATTTGTAAAAAGTTACATCACAAATTGAATCCTTGTTAACTAACCTAACAACTTTAAGCAATGTAGGAAGAAATTTTCTTAATAATAATTAAATAATTTTATTTATCATCAAATATTTTAATTACCACCGGCCAAATTTCTATTACAATAAATCTCCCACTTATCTAATAAATTTAATAAAACGCGGCTTTGTACATAAAGATTTCGACATTCCTGGGCATAACTCACACTCCTTATAAGTTCAATCAATTTCTGAGCAGTTTCACAATATTTAATCAGTGATTGATGTGCATTCAATAGTATTTGATTTTATTGTTATTGACAGGAAAGTTGTGAGAGGTTTGAATTAAAGAAAATTGTTTAATTATACACCAACAAAAGTATAACTTTTAATAATCAGCTGTCAAACGCTTATGTTACAAACGAGTGTTTTTGAGAATAAAGCCGGAAAATGTTAAAAAATATCGAAAAAAAACCGTGGCTCGATTTGTTGTGTTGTTGGGTGTATTTAGAGAGGAAATCCTGGGTTGAGTTTATACCGGTTTTCCAATAAACAGTGTTAATCTGAATGAAGAAATAAATTGCATACAGTCTCAATTGTACCTATTAGATACAATAAATACACATTTTAGTAGTGATTAACGTGAAAAGTGTAAACATTTCAATTCAGTAAAAATCGTCAAACAAATAAGTCGTCTAAATTTAAACAGCATTTAGCATTATTAAAACCGTTGATTAAGAAAGTCTCCACTCAACGGTAAAATACAATTATATTATGTATTATATAATATTAAATTGCCATGAATTCGTAGGTATATTTTGTTGTTTAAAATGCAGTTGTCGGCGTTTTTTAGAGAACTCAAATATAAAAATGCTTGATTTTAAGGTTATGTTTGTGCAAAAATTATTTTTTACCAATTACTTAAAAATGTCCAAACTTAAATATAAATTATATTAGGTAAAGTTATCATTAGTTAATTCTGCACCAACAAATGTACTTACCGAATTGGCAAAACATGAAAATGCAACGATTTAGTTCTTGAATTTCAGATCTCTTAATTACCATTTTTGCCGACAGTAAGGGGACAAGAAATACTTTACGGTTATGAATAAAATTGTTACGTCCAAAACATGTAAATTAAATTGTGCAATGAGAAATTATAAACGCATTAAACAATTATGGAAAAGCAAAATAAACTCGTGCCTTCTGATATTTACGTATATTTAACTAATTTTTAAAACACGCGCATCGTCAAATCAACATTAAGCTAACATAATGGTTCCGATTCCTAGAGCAATAAACGCAAAGTGGTATCAAATTATAAAAATAAAATAATTACATAATAAAAAACATGCTCAAATGTCTGTAATTTTCAAAATTTTTGAGTCAAGGGCTGGAGTTACGAACAGTGGCTTTTAAGCTTTTTAGTCACGGGCTGAGGTTAGCTTTATTATTAATTGGGAAAGTGAGGTTAAATTCGGGTGACAGTTGACTTAATACATACTAAACTATTAAGATATTTAAAAAATGTTTTTTTGCAAAATTTTGTTTAAAGAAGTTCTTAAAAAACTTTTTCTTGATTTAGATCACTTTGCGATTTGGATTCTGCAAATCCATAGCTCACTGAATCGTGGCGTCTTCTTCACTTTCTCTAGCGACCTTTTCACCCAACTCAGGAAAGTTCTCATAGCTGGCGTAGCATTCTTTAATGTCATACCGATCTATGTCGCTTCCTACCCATTTTAACATCTACCTCTAGTTAATTAATATTTTTAATTGGGTCTCTGAACATAGCTAACAAGATGATTTCCATACTTTAAATATTTTTCCATGGTAGTAGAAACCAGTGTTTTCTTAACCTTATAAAGGATGTCCCGAAATATGAACAGGTCGAAAAATCGCCGCTAAGGGACCTACAACCTCTTAGGGACGCCCCCTAAAAATATTTTATTATTATTATTATTATATTAAACTAAAAAAGAAATTTTGTTATTTTATTTTTATTCGAAAATCAATGTAAAATTTATATATGCCGTTGTTTTAAAGATTTTAGGTTTTTTCTTATAAATATATAAAAAGGATAGTTTGTTTGTTTAAACTTTATTTACGTTTACTTGAAAATAAGAATATTTGAATTTTTAATAATAGTTTTATAAAAATATACAAAAAAGTATAGAAATTGGACATTTTATATAGTAATTGGACACATGGACCATAGTTATTGGACATACAATTTTTATATAAACATAACAACTTTACATCAAATAACATGAATTGTTAAATATTTTTTAAAGATAAATTGCTGTTTAGGTAATTTTTTTTATACCGTTTTTGTAAATATCATATAATTTATATATTTCTTTCTCGGATTCCTCATCCCGTTTCTGTATTCTGAAGGTAACTACTAATTCCTTGGTCTGACTTCTGAAATAGTTTGTTGCAAATATCATTAAGTGTGGTATCTCTAGTTTGTGAAACATTTATAATGTTTAGGCCGGAACAGAATGATTTATATATATATCCAATATTTTTTCGGGTGGTATGTTAAAAGAATTTTCCGAATTTATTAATTTTGTTGCCATTAGTTTTTTATGTTCTCTATAATGCACTGTATTTAAATCACTATTATTCTGCAAGATGTCCCTTACTGTCCCTTACTTTTTATTCTTTGACACCCTGTATATTGGTTATTTTCAACTTTTGTAAACAAATAAATTTAGTTTCCCATTATTTTGGTTGAAAATGAAACAATTTCAGATTTCAGACTTTTATTTTAAAGAGTAAAAAATTAAAAAAATTAAAAAGGGCGATTTTTTATATTTGATACCTAAAAGATTATCCTTAATTTTTAATCATAAACCAAAACTTTTATCTATGGTTCTAATCACAAACCACACAACAAGGTTAGGCAAACCACTACACAGACGCCATTTTTATATATTGTTTACAATCCTTCTGCTTTGGGTTTGTGCTGTTTATACAGAGAAAAAATCGTTTTCAACTTTGTGTTTCTTACAGAGGCACTTGTAAGCCTCAAATGAGGCCTTAAAGTAATAAGAACAACCATTTTACTCATCTTTTGGTAAAAATAAACCTTATTCCATCAGGGCTGTCATCAAACTGTCAAATTTCAATTTTAAGGTTAATTTAGCATAACCCACAAATTTAAATTTGACAGTTTTATGACAGCCCTGATAAAATATGTTTTATTTTTTACAAGAGAAGTACAATGGTTGTTCTTAGTACGTTGAGGCCTCATTTAAGTGCTTCTGTAAGGAACACAGAATTTCAAACGATTTTATCTGTATTGTGAACTAAACTAACCTAAAATAATTTTTTTTAATTGTAACTTGTCAAGCATTCGATGTGATGAAAGCAATTTTTAAAATATACAAAAATGGATGATAATTTTAAAAAAATACTAAAAAAGAGAAAAAATATATTCAATTGGTAAATAAAATGGTTGGCAAGAAAAAAGAAAAAATTACCCCGTTAAAAGATAAAGTTATATACACTGAAGAACAATTACAATACAATTTATACTTGGACGATTTAAAAAAAGAGTTGTACGAAAACTTGGATACTTTGGAACCTTCTTCTTTCATTGGAATTAAAGAGTTTGAAAAAGTAACAACGATAGGAATGGGGACTTACGGAAGAGTTGACTTGGTGAAGCACACCAAAAACAAAACTTTACACGCAATGAAAATAATGTCCAAATTATACATAATGCAAACCCAACAGTTGCAGCATGTGCTATCGGAACGAAGACTTCTATCTTGCATAAACTTCCCCTTTATAATACACCACGATTTTACTTTTAAAGACAACGATTATATATACTACGTAATGCCGTTCATCCCAGGCGGAGATTTGTACCACCAACTCAAAAAAGAGGGCCCTTTTGGCGAAGATTTAACCAAATTCTACGCAGTGCAAATTTACTTCGCAATAGAGTTTCTGCACCATTGCGATATAATACACAGAGACGTAAAGTTGGAGAATTTATTGGTTTGTGCCAACGGCTACATCAAGCTAACAGACTTGGGCTTCAGCAAAATAATCGTGGATCGAACCTACACGTTTTGCGGAACCCCGGAGTATTTAGCACCCGAGATAATCCTAGCCAAAGGTTACGGGAAGTCTGTGGACTGGTGGGCACTTGGAGTTCTCCTCTACGAAATGACCGTTGGAAAATCGCCCTTTGCTTCCACGCAAACCATCATTTGTCTGGAGAAGATCGTCAAATGTCGATACTCCAAGGAAGAAATCGAATCCCCGGAACTACAAAACCTCATCGACAAACTAATTCAAGTAGACCTAAGCAAAAGACTTGGTAACCTGGTGAATGGTTGTCTGGATATAAAAAACCACGCGTGGTTCAAGGATATCAGCTTTAAAGATGTCAGCTTGCAAGTTTTTGAATCGCCAAGGAAACCCACTGTACTGAATGAAGAAGACACCAAAAATTTTGACTCTTTTGAAGATGTGTACATGCCTTCGACAGATTTAGTTCTATACGAATCTGAATTCAGTCAATTTTAGTTCTGGAAACAATTTGGAATAAATATATAATTACAAACTAATCTTTGTTGTCGGTGTTGTACTTAATTTTAAGAAAAAAAAGCATTATCCTGGTTGAGCTTAGATTATAAGGCATACATTTATAAATTTTATAGTGATTTTTCAAACACAACTGAACATAAAATATCAAAAATGACAGCAAGTTACTTTGGTGGTAAGATTTTTGTTTTTTTGTTAAGAGCAGGGCTATATTTAAATTACAATAAAAATATTTCTAAAAAGTGGACAGATCAGTGTGTGGAATAAATGTGTTCCTCATGGTTTAAAGATTGTCACTTTAATGCGTTTTAATTTTAATTCTGAAAACAAACAGTTAAATGGCCAGTGTCCAATTACTGGTCGGTAAAAAATGTAAATTTCTATTATTGGACATATGTATGTCCAATATCATACTCTATTTGTATCCCGGACATTTACCAGCCAATTCTTATGTAAAATTGTCCCCTGAATCCGAAAAGACCGTCAAAAACTATAAAAGTTAAGCAGTTTTTGAGATATAGTCAATTCCATATTATATGTAAAATTCATAATATTTCAAAAACTGTCCTACTTTTATAACTTTTGACGATATTTTCGGATTCAGCAAATTATATTTCATAGGAATTGACTGCTAAATGTCCTGGATACAAATTGCTGTTGACGAGGATTATTAGTGGCTGCTTTTTCGCTATGACATTTTTGACTAATTCATTTTTAGAGAGTAAGTAATATAGTGATTTCTTCGTCACAGGACATCTTGCAGAATAACAGTAATTTAAATACAGTGCATGATAGAGAACCTAAAAAAATAATGGCAACAAAATTAATAAATTCGGAATATACTTTTAACATGTCACCCGAAAAAATATTAGATATATATAAATCATCCTGTTCCGGCCTAAACATTATAAATGCTCCACAAACTATAGTTTGTATCTCTATAGAGATACCACACTTAATGATATTTGCAACAAACTTTTTCAGAAGTCAGACCAAGGAATTAGTAGTTACCTTCATAATCCAGTAAAGGGATGAGGAATCCGAGAAAGAAATATATGAATTATATGATATTTACAAAAACGAAACAAAAAAATTACCTTAAACAGTAATTTATCTTTAAAAAATATTTATGTTATTTGATGTAAAGTTTTTATGTTTATATAAAAATTGTATGTCCAATAACTATGGTGCATGTGTCCAATTACTATATAAAATGTCCAATTACTATAATTTTTTGCATTTTTTTATAAAACTATTATTAAAAATTCAAATATTTTTATTTTTAAGTAAACGTAAATAAAGTTTAAACAAACAAACTATTATTTTTATATATTTATAAGAAAAAAACTAAAATCTTATATATATATAAATTTTTAAGTTTTGTATTATTTTTTATCGAATCATCCTTGATGTTCGCATTAGTAATATAATAAGTGAATGGTATAATTTCAAAATGATAAATGTATGGAATGATAAACTTTTTATAAAGTCAAAAACTTGTCGTGATTTACCTCCAAAAGATTGACCGATAAAGTAATTTACCTGAGCATTAATAGAAACTCAAATGTCAAGAATTCATTCCCCATGTAAAAATAAACCTACAATAACAATAATTTATTATTTAAGTGGATAAAAGGCTCGATTAATTGATTTAAAATAAAAATAATTATTCAAAAATTTAGAAATCAGTCGCAGCAACACAACAAACAGATTGTGCAATCATATATTGTGCAAAGTATTTAAATTTCGAAATTGCTAAGGTTATAGGAACTAACTAATCACACACTTTTTTATCGTGTACATCTTTTCTATGTTATCTGCAGTTCATATTATTACTTTATTAGCTAGTTTAAACAATTATCTTGTTAAAATTATATTTTAAATTCATGCATTTTTAATTGTTTATTAGGTATTTAAAAAGGATTTTATTACATGATTATAATCATAATGTATACATTTACACATTTTAACTTTAAGTTTTATTTATAAATTATGTCTGGCATTCTAAAAATCACTCCTGACATTTGCAGGTTTTTTTTCGCAATTTTATTTTTTTAATTTCTTCTAATAATAAAAACAATACCTTAATGCATTTCCAATTATAATTATTTAGATTTATTTGTAATTTCTAATATTTTGTCTAATTGTAGGAAATAATAATTTATTTCAATAAAACTCGCTAGTAATGGTGTAAAATAAAAATTTCTTCTTGCATAAGATATTCTCACGCATAAAATAATAAAATAATGACGCCATTATGTAATTATAAAATTAACTTTTCCATAGATTAATATTTACCCAATACGATAAATACAATTAATAGAGGATTCATCTAAAAGCAATTTTCGGTAAAGGTATTATTTGCATTTAGAAAATGATTTAATACTGTAATTATGTACATTGCTTCACTTTATAAATATTTTGATGAGGACCTCACAATATTTTTGGATAATTAATTATTTAATGATTTCTTACAGTGTTCTTTTATATTTGCAAAAAAAATAATATTAGCGATTTTTTTAAATAAATCTATGCACGGCACTGGCAATGCACAATAATTACTCATTACAAAAATTATCCATGAAAAAAACATTGAAATAAAATATAGTAACTAATAGTAACATCTCTCTAAAAATCAAAAAAGTCAAAAATTACTAATTTAATAGATATTAGTGGCTGCTTTTTCACTTGTACCATGGTTAACCATGGAATATCATGGTATCCCCAAAGCAATTATTATGTAAAATTATCCCCTGAATCCGAAAATGTCGTCAAAAGTTAAAAAAGTTTTTGATATATAGTCAATTTTCCATTTAATATGGAATCTCAAAAACAGCTCCACTTTCATAATTTTTGAATTCAGGGGACAATTTTACACAAGAATTGGCTGTAAAATTTTGGGATACCATGGTATTCCATGGTTAACCATGGTACAAGTGAAAAAGCAGCCACTAATAACTATTAAATTAGTCATTTTTGACTAATTAATTTTTAGAGTATGATATAAATATTCTTAGTTTGAATACATAAAAAACGCAATTTAAGCTTAAAACAACAATGACACAAGAATTCCAAAAATGTTCTACAATTAATTAATTAATTAATTATAGTGAATTTTTAATTCCTAATTCAAAATTTTCCATTCAATTTAGCAAATTGTCGTTTTAAGTAGTGGTGAATCCAGTGCCTTGCAAATATATTTTTTATATCGCTAATATGAATTCTTAAAAATGTACTCACAAAAACTGACATAGTAGGCATTGTATTTTGTAACCATTATTCATCAGATTGTATAATTTTATCAATGATAATAAAAATTTGAATTATTTTTTTTGTACAAAAAATGGACCGCCAAAGAGTTCAAGTTTCAACGTGGATTCTGCAATCCACTGCCTTATTTAGGCATTTTACCACTGCATGAGAAAGTCAAAATTCGGTATTTACTTTAATGATTAAAATATAAATATCAAATATCCAAATTTAATTTGCTTGGAAATGTTAATCTTAAATTTGAATTCAATTAATAAATAATGTAATTTAAGATTAAACACCCACTTTCAAAATTTGACGTGTGAGATTTAATATTATTATTGCAACAAATAATATATTATTAATTAATTTACTAAGTAAATTAAATCCAGGCCCCACAATCGATCATGTCAAGAATAATTACAAATTACGTAATATTTATTTTATTAAAATTCTTCATTTAATTTTTTGTTGGCAAAAAGTATATTTTGCAATATGTATTCGTATATTATATGTAAAAATCTAGAGCAGTTTGTACTAATTAATTTTAATTTGGTTTACTTTGTTACATTTCACAAACCTAGTGAAGACAGTCGCAATTTGTTTTATTTAATAAAAGAGCACTTTGTTAATATAATTAAAGTTATTTAACTTAAGTAACATTTGTCAATTTCACTAATGGATTAAAAAATTCTTTTATTTCTGCCTACCAAGATTTTATTTTAAAATTATGCAACAAATAATTGTTTATACATAGGTAACGGTAATATATATTTATATCCATTGTTTATTTAGATTTGCGGAAAATATGTATATTTTCCCATAATTAGTTGTGACACATTGTTTTTTGTTGGTAAAAGTAAAATTCTAATTAGAATGTAAGTAAATGCTTTAATTAATTAATCAATCTAAACGCGGGTGCATCCGCCATTTCTAAACTGTGAAAAGTTATATTTTTAAAATTTAGTTCTTATTGATATGGGTGATTCCACAAAAGTTGGACAACTTGATGTCATCAGTCAATAGAGTAGGTATTTTAATATTTTTTGTAAATATTTTGGTATATTACAAAAGATCCAGGTTTTTTAACTTGTCCACCCAATTTTAATGTATTTTTCAAAAGCACGTTTGTAGAAAAACAATAAATATTCAAAACATCAGTACTTTGGCGTGTCACAACTCCTGAATCAAATATTTGAGTGGTTTTATTTTAAAATATATTCAATTTATCTTAAATTTTTAAATTTCACTACAAATATAAAACATTAAATAATGTATTTTTCATATTTTATCATAGATTCGAATAATAGCAATTTTTAAAAAATTGATAATCTTTGTACTCACTTTTACCCGTCAGTTCTGTGTCCAATGTTAAAATTCGAAATTCCTGCGAAATATTGAAGTTTAAACGTCAAGTCCTCGTTTTAACTCAAGTGTTGGTAAAAAATTACCCACAGAGCCCGCCCTTTGCACGACAGTCATCTTGAAAACAATGCAAGCGGCGAAGTTGTGGTGAATGCACGTATAATTCCAGTCAAAATTTCAGTACTGTGGTGAGTAGTTATTTTCTTACGTATATATATTTCATTGTAATTTATATAAGGCTATATGTGATTTGTTGATAAGTAGCATCCACTAATAAAAAATATCAGTAAAATACTTAATTCCGAATTATAATCTCAAATCAGTACCGTGTCGTCAGTTCCATGTTCGATGTTTCGGTTATCTTTTTTTC